ACTTGAATAATGTCTTGAAGTACATAGCTTTCAATTAAAATTCCACTGGCACACCAGGTCTATCTTCATTTCAGTATGTTCTGATCAGTAGCTGCTTTTTATTTAATGTGTTCTGTTCTGTCAATAGAAATTACATTAAATGATTGTTTTTCCTTTAAGATTTCTTTTTTCCAAAGTGCTGCAAGACATTGAAAATAGTCTAGGTCTAGAATTTCTAAAATAATTTCAAATGGTCTTACTAGATTATGGTTGCATTTTACTACTGGCATCAGATCAGGACTGCCAGGAAAACGTTGAAATGCACATCTTTGATTTCGTTTACTTACTGTGATGCCTTTTGCATTTTTAAAAATGGTGTGTTGTGCAGCTGATGATTAAGATGAATGAAAAGAATGCTGGTCACTGGCTTTATTTTTGCTCTGAAAATACAGCTTTTGGGTTCCTTTGGTTATTACCTTCTCCTTCAAGGTATAGATGGGCACTTGTAAAATACTTTGAGATACAATAAATTGTTACCTGGTGTAATGATCTCAAAATAGATACTGTGACTTAAGTGCATATTAAAAAGAAAATACTTTTTACCCTCAATAGAAGTTCCTGTGTCTTTGTGGTGTGGTGTTTTGTTTGGTTGGTTTTTGGTTAACACTGATTGGATTTGAGAACTGTTCTGTGCTGTAAGCAGATCTCAAATGAATTTGTGGCTTGTGAAGATTGGTTGCTCCAGCTTGTCAGATTTTTATTCTTGTCTTATTCTTTTCTCCCCAGCCCGGGCAGGAAGGCATAAAAAACTTTTTCAGTAGCAGTGTTAGACTGGACCATGGACCAGCAAACAAACATGAACAGCTATTAAAATATTTGAAAATTACTTCAAAGGTACAAATAATTTAATAGTTCAGTATTGTTTAATTGCTGTAGATAAGCTATACTCCATTGTTTGTCTTTCTGAGCAAAAGATAGGCTGTGAGATTTTTTTTTCAAATGAGATTGTGGCTGTGGTTGTTGTTTTTTTTTCCCTTTCCTTGTGTTGGCTACCTCACCCAAAGCATAAAAGGTTGTAGTGTCAGTAATGCAGCCACAAAGTCCAGCAATGTTTAAACACTTGCCTTTCTCTGTGGGCAGCACCCTGGAGTGCTCAGCAGCATTAATTCCATATTGCACTCTCATGTCTTGCTTGCACAAGTGAATTCAGTGCCACTGATGTTTCTGAATGTTCCAGGTTCCTGAGGGGAATTTTTGTCAAGTATTACAGTGTCTTTGAGGTGTTTGTATTTCAGTGGAGCTGTTGGATCCTCAGAAAAAAGTTTGTAGGCAATTAAGTGGCTGACAACTCCTTTGTTCTGAGGGCAGTGATAGCAGGGACTCTGTGCATTGTTGCTTTCCAAAGAAACAAAGTGAGACAGAACTTCTCAGTGTGGCTCTTTCAGGGATAAGAAGCCAAGTGCCAAGTTAACCTGAGTAAACAGGCACAAAAGCAGCAGAGATAATCTTTGGCACTTAGGCAATAGATGAACACTGGGCACTAAATTAGAAAAATATCACATGCACCGAAGCTTCTGGTTGTTCAAATGGAAATCCAGTGCACTCTGTGAGGAAGCAAGCAAGAGCTGTTACTCAAGGGGTGCTCTGTTCTAACAAGTTGCCTCTTCTTTCTTTTTTGCTGTGCTTTTTTTTCCCACATTGCCTTTGTGCTCTGAAGTGTTTGGATTTATCCTCTACAACCGTATTTGTGGCATCTGTGTACAAAACATAAAATGTGAGAATCTTGGCCTACAGTGGGTAGGGACATGCACCTAATACTGACAGAGGGACTTGGGGCATAATCTGACAGTTGTGTAGGTGTGTTCAGGATGGATTTGCTGCTTTCTGACTGTTGTGGCTTGGTAACCTGTTGTGCTGCATCCAGTACAAATATAAAGTATGTATAAGGATCTTAGACCAAAAACTGTCAAAAGAACTGTGTAATGTGTTTGAAGTGTTTTGAGAAAGGAAGTCATAGCTTTAATCCTAAATAGTTCTTTGTGGAATTTTTTTTTTTGCTATGTAAACTGATGCAGTTGGGAATGCATAGACAATGTAACTCCTTGTTTCTGTTTCCCAGCATTTGCTTAATTTGATTTTCCTCCTATAGTTACATGCCCCAATTTTAGATCTAAAATCAATCAGTGGTTATTTTAATATATAATAAAGATGATAAAATGATCCTTGGCAATATGTGACAAGCTTGTGAAGTAAACAGATGGTAAGTTGCATTTTTATTGTGTGAATACAAAACTTAGGGCTGCAAATTTCTTGTTTTAATATGTTTCTTATTTAATATATATGTACTGCAGAGAACAGCAGAAAAACTACTGAGTAACTTTCAATTCTGAAAATGCAATACAGCCTGAAGATACTGCAGAGACCATACTTGAGCTTGTGTATAGTAACATTCCTTGAGGTATGGCCTTGCTTCAGGTGGAAAAATAACTTTTTTTTTTCCTTTCTCTCTGAGAAAGGAATGATGAACAAAATGGTGGCTAGAAGGAGACGTTTATCTTGCAGGCCACTGTAGGGATCATTAGATCTGGGGATCTGGCAGGGCTGTTTTGGAAACAAGATCTATATCCTGAGCAGTTCTGACTGAGAGTGTCCTTGTTAACCTGACAGCAGAGTCTCCTGTTTATCTGAGGCACTGATCTGATCACACATCAATGAACCTACTTATGCCTAGGGAAGTAAAAAAAGGAATTTGTGTGCTTCTAGACTCTTGTTTTACCTCATTAAAATTCTATCAGTGTTAGTGTGGGACAGTGTAGGGAAGCTACCAGCAGTTTATCATTTATTCCTAGTCAGCTCTCCTCACTGGACATGATTTCATTTTGTTGAACAGGAGCCTGTCTGCAGTTGTTTTTCAACTGCTTTTAACCCCTCTGGGGCTGATGTTTTGTTGGTGATGGTGGAGCTGAGAGAAGACACACCCAACAGAGGAAGAGTAGAGGAGTGCAGCAGTGATTATAGCACCAATGTTTGGTTTGAAAATGGCTTATTGTAAATCAGTATTGATGATCTGTGAGCAGACTGCTCAGGAAGGCCATAACAAGGAGCACAGGAGGATTTGTGGTGATTCCACAGTGCAGATTAACCCAGATGACACAACAATGATGTGAAGGGTAGGTGGATGTAGGATTTGGTGTACCCTGAATGACAGGTCCAGTTATTTGTTTCTGAATGTTACAAGTTCCTTACAGCTCCTAAGAAAGGTAAAGCATCCCCTCACAGTGCACTCATTCCCTTCATAGGATGCTGTGAGGAAATGGATGTTTGATTTCTTAATCTGTGGTTCCAAGATGTATTTCTACTAGCACTAGCTAGTAATGTTAGTAAATGAATGTGTCAAAAAATAACTTTTATTGACAGAGAAGAGCTATGCAGATGTTTACCCTCCCCACAAAACCACCAGTCTGGCACAAAAAGTGGAATAGAGGTGTTTGCTTTAATATGGTGCTGACTATAAACCAACATGGAATATCCTCATTGTCATTAAATAAGATCCCCTACAGGTAAAATGGCCTCTGTTGAAGAGCACATTCCTTAGGTTAATTGTAAACCTACACTTGAATTTAATTTCTTGTGAGAGGCCCTTTGAGATCAGACTGTAAATTCATGTACAGGTCTTTATTGATATTTGAAAGAGAACTAGTTAATCTTTTTATTGTGAGACAATTTCTGGGGACAGTAAAGAAAGCAGTTGCTGGGCTCCTAATTTCATAAGGCTGACATTTCAAATTCTGCCAAATGCCTTGGTTAAAAAGTGTTTTATTGCATTAATTAAATAGCTTGTTGGAGATGCCACATTGTTGGATACCAGTTTAAGTAACAACAAATAAATTATGAAGTGAAAGGGGGAAAGCAGTGGAGGAAGGGAAATTTCCCAGAAAGGAGGGAGGAGGAAACACTAGAAACACTGTTTATATCCTGTTGAGAAACAAATTGGAGCTTTTTTCTTTCCTAAAGATCCGCCTGTCATCCATTTCCACATGAGCTGAGGATATTTCCGCTGTTCAGTCAATGTGAAATTCAAAGTAAAATAGCAGTAAATAGAATGAAGGAGGCTGAATTTTTACATTCTCATTGGTAAAGAGAACAAAATGATGGCTTAAGTTGTAGGCTAGACTTCTGTTGTTCTGCATTAGTATTAGGGTTTCCAGGTGTCCCAGTTACCAGTCAGACAGAGCTAAATGAAAATACCTCCTCTTCCCTAGGAGCATTAAAAATTAGACATGGAATTGAAACATGCCAATGTAGCATGTGTGCTTCTCTTTCTCTGTAACTCCCTGAAAGAATATAGATTGATTCATTGGGATTGTTGCTTAGTTGAAGAGAGAGTGCTCCAACCAACTTCATTTGGTTGTGAGTCCTTAAATGGGGGACACATCTCAAACTTCAATTTCCTCAAAATTCTGTGTTAGGGAAGGATTTAATTAGCTATCTCTTGATTACTATAGGGTAAAATTGATTGAGAAATAATGCTTCTGCAAAGCAGAACTATTTTTACCCGAAGTGCAGATGTTACCACTCCTGTACTTTTGCAGAGGGAGAAATAATCCTCAGGCACTATGAGAAGGAAGCAGAGCTTCAGCATCTTACCCCAAAGTGTGACCAAGAGAAATAAAGCACAATGAAAGCACTAAGTGCCATCGAAGGCCAGTGGTCTTGAGCACAGTTGGAGCAGCCAGGTTGCTCTCCCAGAACTACAGCTTACCTCATTTGATACATGCTCCAGCCAATCCATTTACCTCCTGTTTCTGCTTTGTGGCTTTTGTAGTGTCACAATTTCAGTATTAGAGCAGCTGCTAGTTCCTCACACTTTGGCTTTTTCCTATAATTAAGGCTTATTAGCAGTTATTGCTGTGAAACCTCTGTGGTGTTGCAGACTAAGTACTAGAGCACAGAGCTGGATTTGAAATGGAGTTTGAGCCAAGGTGGTTTCTGCAACAGAGCTCAGCACTAAGCATTGATGATACATGATGCACATCTCTAAAGGACACTGTCCCAAGATAAGCCACATATTTGTTTCTGTAGGCAGTGGGATAATACTGGCTTCTAGAAAGCAGCCCATTATATTGGCATAATTGCAGTCTGATGGTAAATCAGTTTGAGCTCTCTTATATGCTTATTTAGTATTATGCCACTTGTAAAGCTGAAAGAAATTGCTGCCTTTTAGTGGTCACTTATAAATAAAATTACACTCCAGTAATGGATGTATTATGAAAGCAGTTTATGCATATTAATATCAGACTCTGACCTGAAGTATGGAAACACTAGTCCATGTCTTTAGTTTGGCCTTGTAAAATGATTCTGGCTGGAATCAGGCTCAAGTGAAGAACTGACTTGTGATCTATATATGATGCACTAGGTGATTTTGTGTTATAAGGCTGTGCATTTTTTTAAAAAAGTAGTCATGTCCCAAGTTTCCTGTCTAAGCACATGAAAGGAGGGATGGCAAGTCTGCTTTCCTTGCTTCAGCTAGGAGCATGTTGAATGGGAATGCTTGAACTAACTACACCTTTCACTGCAGTGTTACTAAAAGGCAAAGTCCAGCACTTTAATTTCTGAGGCAGAAATTATTTGCATCCAGTTCGAAGAATATCTGATACTTGTTTTCCCAAATATGCCTTCCAGGGTTTCACCAGGCTGTTCATGTTCACAAGGAGTTTGCCAGTCCTAGAGTCCTCCTGGCCTGCTATGAGATAGTCAGTACCTTGTTAAAAAAAAGAAAAAAAAAAAAGAAAAAGGGAAAGCCCTTAATTAGCATATAGAATAAGAAAGAACCAAACCAGAATTTCTCTATTTCATATGGATCTGGCATACAGCAGCTTTGCCAATTTCCTCCAGCTCATGCATGTGCCATCTTATGTGTATAAATCCACGTGCATCCTGTCACTGCTGGCTCCTGGGCAGATTCACTGGTCAGGGCTCTGCTCAGGGGTTACAGCTACAAATTGATTTCATTCCACTGATGTTCTGCACACAGATCTGCTGGGATTTGGCAGCTGCTGCTCATGCCTTTGCCCCCCTCCTGCCTTTACCACCCTCCTTGAGCACTGTGAGCTGGAAAGCAAACATGCTTTGGTGGGGATGAATCAAAGGATGCTGCCCCAGAAAGGCTAATCACAGATATTCCTAAGCACTGTTTACAGGGGAAGCAAAACCCCCAGTGAGGATTTTGTCCTTACCAGGATTGAGAATGGGACATGTACAGCCTCTGTTGGTCCAGGATTCTGGGTAAATGCTTCTGTTGCTCCGGGCAATTTTCACTTTGCCTGATTTCAGGACCTTCTTCACTTTCACAACAACTTCTGCATGGGTCCCTTTGTCATGAGCAGACAGGATTCTTGCTTTTATTACTGCCAGAAAACATATCCAAATAGAAACCAACAATGAATTTCTAAATGAATTTTGGTTAATGCTGCTAAAAGGTAGAATTTTAACACCTTGAAAGAAGACATGAAAAATCCCCCAAAGTGCAGTTGTACAGAAAGTACAGTGCTTGTCCATTTCACTGATGGATCTTTTAAATAAATCTGAGGAATAAAAACTGGATTTTTCTTTTTAAGTAGATGATGATAACTCATCCTTTCACCATGTTATTTAGCAAATATTTTTAATGGGCTGATGTCAAACACCTGGAAATTCTAGGAAAGCACTTGTATGTGTACAAAAGGAAGGGTGAAAGACCCCAACCAGCAGCTACCAGTCTGATTTCAAGCACTATTTCTACACTTTATATTTCCAGTTAGAAAACATTAGTGTTTTGCTTTAACACTGGCCTCTCAGAAATTCTGTCCTGTGAGAAGGGACTGTCTACAGGTAGGAAGCCAAGAAAATTCCTATCAGCCACATCACATGACTAAAACTCCATAATTGCACAACAAACCAGAACTATTTTTGTTTTGCGGTCCAACACCTGGTTGCCATGATAAACTTCTGTTCCTTTTAATTTAGTAGGATCCCATAACTTTTTGGCATGACAGGCTCATGTAGATCATCCCCTCAAGCAGGCTTTGTTGTCTCCTGCCACAAGAACCTCAAACCTCTGGATACCAGAGCTTTCCTTTCTTGCCTCATGTGATGGCATGAACCAGGTGTTTATAAACAACAGTTTTAAATGCAGTCTTGGTAAATGAGCATGGCTATTGGAACCTGCATAACGACTGCAAAAGCAAAGGCATTTCAGATGTGTTTTTTATCATTTTTTCTTGATGTAGAGGCAAATCATTCCACTGAGTATTATTCTAGCAAGCCTTGTGCTGTAAGAGGTAAATTAACTGGATGGGAAGGAGCTTTGTATGAAAAATGCTTTTAAGTTCTGATCAGAATTTGGACATGTCGCTAGACAAAAAAGGCAGAAGAAATCCTACCTCTCAGGACTTAACCAATCCTGTCATTTTTCACAGCTATCAGCTAACAATATGCATAGCAGGAGCATTGTGAAATGATCATAGCTTGGGGGCATGTTGCCCACTTACCATAGGCATATTTCATTTGGCAGAAGTCACTGACACTCCCGAGCACCTTCTCTTTGCACACACACTTTTCTAGCAGGGAAACCCCAGAACAGAGAGGGTTGGAGAAGAGCCAGGACATGAGAGAGAAAAGAAGAGCAAACAATCATCAGTTGTGAAGTTAGATACCTATAGTTCCCATAATCTATATGAACCTTATGAATAAGTTGGAGAGTGAGCTCAGTTATTTGCAAATGTGTTTCTTGTTATATGATAAAATATTTACTCTGAAATCTGATCAGCACTGTCAAGTAAAATGCAGCCCACATGAGGTCTATTGTATAGGTAATAAACTGATCCTAATGAAGAGATCAGATCCAGCTGTAAATCATGTAAGTAATGAGACCTTTGTTTGATCCCATAAGCTAAGAAATGCTGATCCTTCCTGGTATTAAGGCAGTATCCATCTCAGAAAGGCCAAGTTATGCAGTAAGTGGCTCTGTTACCTCTGCCAAGCCACCAGTGATGGCAAGTGCTGATCTTTACAGGGCAGGCAAAACTGAGAACTATTTAAATACTACAGACAAGCTGGAAATAAGTGGGGCAGACCCAGTCAGGGTGGAGGGTTGAAAGAACTGGCAACCAAATGTTCCCAAACTCTGGGCTGTACCTGGGTGCCTCAGTGCAGAAAATCCCTGCTCGTGGTCGTTCCATTTCCACTCCTCTTCGCTCTCGTTGCTTGGCGCTTGGATGAGGTCGGGGATTCGTCCCCCGATGGGGACATTAAAGAAGGGCTCACTGTCATAGCTGGGGGACACACAAACCACAGCACTGCCTTAGGGCACTCAGGGGAGGAAAACAAACAAACAAACAAACAAACAGCTGCCTTTGGCTGTGCCCAGACTGATGAGCTTGCTTTCTTCAGGTTGGGAGTGCAGATATGAGCGAGATTTCATGCCACATAGAGAGATCACAAGGTCTAGGCTTTTATTCAGGCCTCCCACTGCTGACTTAGCATTTTTAAAGTACCTATGAATTGGGCCTTTTTTGCTTATGTTTATTTGCTTTTAGGGAATTATGTAACTTAGTGACCACTTGTTGATATCACTGGGACCTGAGGACAGCTGCAGGACCTCTAGAACTGCAATTGCTCAGCAAATCATTTTACTCTGGGCACAGATGAGAGGCAGACTCTTCCATCTATTTCCAAAGCAACAATGTGTTTAAAGACCCTGCACATATTTCCATGGGGTTGTGGAAATGCCTATTATTACTGCCAAGATTCATCTGTTCAAGATTGCCTTGGATAATGCAGCAGACTTCAAGGTGTAAATGTAACCTTAAAAACCACCTATGATTTACAGCCACCTTTTCAAATTGTGCACCCTCCAATCTTTGTTATTCCTGTAGAATTTGTTTCATTTCACAGAGTCCCATCTCAGAGTGACCCCAGAGCAGGGCTTCTTTACCCGTTGAAACACGTCCCAGTGCGCTGGTCACAGTCTCTGGCGCAGTCACAGGGCTGACAGCCGTTCTCTCCAAAGCCCCAGTAGCCCACCAGGCACCTGTCACAGCTGGGACCTGCCACTCCTGGTTTGCAGTAGCAGAATCCTGTCCGGGGGTGGCATCTCCAGCTGCTGCTGAACGTGGTGTTGGCTGAACCCATGGGCTGGCAGGCACAGGCTGTGGACACACAGCAAGAGACACAATTCAAATACATGGGGTACATAGGGTCAAGCTGCTTAAGTGACATTTTAGCAAGGCTGGTGAACTTGTACCTTCTTCCTCATGGTCAGTAGTTTTAAGTCAGAACTAGTAAACATTGCATTTTGGCCTACATTTGCATTTTTTATTTCTTTTTAATTTGTTAGACAAAGCAGAACAAGTACTACTGTGAGCATTTGTGTATGAAAGTCAGTTCTTCCCTGCTACACAAATTGTGATCACACAGGGTTTTCAAGTGATACCAGAAAACGTCCTCTGTGTGTTTATTTTTAAAGGGGCTTGAAGGTAATTCACTTTAAAAGTGTTTTGCAGAAAGTTTCACTAGCAAGGGCAAGGAAAAGATTTATAGCTATTGCCTACATTGCCTTTCCTGTAAACACAGAAATCACGAAACTGCTGTTTCCTCTGGGGTAGATGCAGATTATACAGGTGGTTCAGATGACCTGAAACACATTTTCAATTTCTGTCTCTAAAGAGTGCACAAATTTCCTTCAATTCCTTTCTAAAGTGCTAAACATCACACCATGCAGCGCTGTACGTGCCTAAAGAAGCTGATCATTTATTTTTTTTTTACAAATGCATGAGCAGATTTTTTCAAGGACGGTTAGCAGAATGGGAGAAGACCTCTAAACTTACTAGATGTATTTTACATGTAGCTGAAGGAAATAGGAGGAAAAACCTTGAAATCTTTCAAATAGTGTTGCCAGTTTCACACCAGCCTATCAACTCAAGGCAATTTGGCAGGAAAACAGATAGTTACAGCCCCATGGGCATCTCTTCCTGCACAGACAATAAATTGTCATAATCCTACACCACTGGTACATTCCTGATGTGACAGCATCAGGGAGGGATTCACAGAGAGGTACAAGCCAGCACAGTTGACTCCTCTCCATCAGGGCAGAAACCTGTCTGGGATGGCCAAGCCTCATGCCAGCAGCTCTGAAGTAAAATACAAGCAGTAAACAAGCCCACTCATCTCTGATGTTCAGACCAATTTGATCAAAATGAGAACTGAGCTGAACTCCAGGCCTTCATATTTCAGATCTCTTTTGTATTAAGAAAGCAGCATGCCCTGACTTTTACTTGTAGCAGACTGAAAAGGTAATGCATCACTACTCCATCCATCTGGAAGAGGGCAGAAATAAAAATCTTGTGGCTAAGGCCTGCTTTTACAGAGATTTTCAGTTAAATGTTGAACACCCAAGGTGTTTAGATAGCTTGAATCAGAGGCCAGCCTTTTTGGATGCTTATTTGAACCAAACATGATCTGCAAAGCTTTTGAAGTTTGCCCATCATTGTTTCTGATCAAACTACTTTTCTTCATGAGCTCACAGATAAGAGACTAAATGAACACTCTGATCCCACACATCACTTTCCAAGGGGAAAGGGGCAAATATAGGACTAAAGAAAATTTAAAATGTAGCAGGGACAGATCCCCCTTCATCCGCAACCTCATATTTCAAACTCAGGAAAAGAAAATACCTTTTGAAAACAGTACAAGAAGAAGAGCGAGCAATTTTGTTTAAAGGGCATTTCACTTACAATCTGCTTGCCATATAGTTATTTTTTTCCCCCACGCCCTGTGTTCTTTATGCCAATAATTTCAATAATATTATTCTACTGCTGTGGATGGATCTGGGCCCGTTGTGCTCAGGGGACTCTAGCACAACAGCCTAGGGACAGAAAAGCCACGTGCTGTCATGGGCAATGTGCTGGGCACAAAGGGCGGGCTGGCGCGGGGCAGCAGCCTCGCCTGCTCGCCACAAAGCAGCCCCGACTCTGGGAGCAAACCCAGGGCTTGTGCTGTCACTTCTGGAGAGCAGGTGGAACACTGAAGTGCTCATTAGCCCTGACAGGTTCAAAGGAAGGTCTGATTTTTTGCTGCTAACTTGATTTCAACCCCCCACCCCATTTTTGCAGGGCTGACTACATCACCCTAAAAAAAGAGATTCTTAGTTTGTCAGTCACCGAAAACAATGGATGGCATAGATTTGGAGAGCAGGATGGGAAACACCCTTCCTTCATTACAGACAGGTTTGAGACACAAGGAGTAAGAGTTTGCCAACATCAGGGTCACTTGAATCCAGGATGGTTTTCACTGTAATATTGCAATATGGAGTGGAGTTTTCACTTAAAATGCCTTAGATTTCTGCAGCTTCTGGGTCTGTCTTTATCCCTCTTATTTCTAGTTTTTGGGTTTCATCAGTGAGACTCACTTAACAGATGGGTAACTCACATCATTAGACTACCCTATCCCCAGCTGAGACTGGAACCTGATTCAGGAAGATGGGAACTTCTCCTACCCTATTCCTAAGGGAAAATGTGGCAGTGACTGAAAGCACTGGTAAAAGCTGATGAGGAAGCAGAAAACAAAAGTGCCTTTTTTATTTTGAGGCTACAGTTCAGTAAAAATAATGTTCCCAGATGGACATATTCTCCTGTTAGAAACTGGGACAGCTTCTGGTGCATCAGAAAGCAAGCTGAATCAGTACATGTACAACACTTTCAGATGAGTTATACAAGTGGCTTGCAAACTCTTTACTCAGTCTGTGTTTATTTAGCATTTCAGCTTGGGTGGGTACATTGTCTGGCTTCCAGAGTATTATGGCCAAAATCCCAGTTGTGATCTAAGGTAACTCCTAAAATAAGAGCCCACATGTCACATGCTGAAGGGGCAGCTGTGGATGACTGGGTTTTTATCTGTTTAACAGTACCATGGATTTGCAAATAAACCTCACTATTAAAGAAACATAAAAGCATGTTTCCAAAACCTCACCCTTTAACATTTTCCAATATTTGACAACCCTTTCCCACTGGTTTTTGCTTCTTTTCTCTTGGCAAACCCTCATTTTCTCTCCATCTACCTCCCTGTCTAACAAAACAGCAGCCAATGTGACAATGGCCTTGTTTGTCAAAGGCATCATCAATTATGTTAGGGACGGTGTGCAGACAATCCTGGCTCAGAGCTGGGCAGTTTATTTTGGTTCTCCCTTTGACAGTAGCATAGTGAAAAACAGAATTTTACTTTAGAGTTGCCTATTGGTCACAGAGTGTCATGAATATCCTCTTGCCTTTTAGTCTCACTTCCATACCAAGTATTTGTCAGACACTACTGTAAAAGGGAGGAGACAAGAAATAATGAAAAATGAATAATTCATACCGCAGTCCCCACTCAAGTCCCTAATAAATCTGTCTGCCCTCAGCACAGCTGTCTTCCCCATGTAATTAGACACAGATGTAAAATATAATATTGGTTGTAACAATATGGTCCCAGCTTACAGGAAAATATCAGGTGCTCCAAGTCAGTCAATGGCCTATGAGGTATCTTGTCTTAAACTTTTGTCTAATAATACTGCATAAGATATAGTTGTGATCAGACTGGCTATTTCATTATAAAAAAAAAAAAAAACAGGCAAAATAAAAAAATCAAACAGGTTTTTTGAGTCTGAAATATATACATGTGCATCTTGGAAGTATATGATCAAACCAGTGTGATTTTTAAAGCATGTCAGGTGTGGGGATTGACTCTGCCAATGATGTTTCTTAAATGAAGGAAATAAGATAGCTCTGTGTGTGGTCAGGACTGATTAAGACAGACTTTGAACCAAGATGTGATGGGGCCTTTGTGATATTAGAATTAAAAGTTCACTCCCTCTGCTCAGAAGTAAAAGGATGAGAAGCAGAGCCTTTCAGACCATGTGTGTGCATGTGCATCTGGGCACATTTTAATTTTCTAGCCTCGTTCTTTGAGTAAAAAAGCTTGTTTTCCTGGAGACCCTTTTTAATGGGTCTACATGCCTGCATTACTTTTAAGCTAAGCAAAGGGTGAGTACAAAAGATGGTGCCATTTCAGAAGGATCCCTTAAGCCTTGGAATAAGCCACAGGAAAGAGCCAAGGATACAGCAGCTTTTCTAACCATTGGTTAGGAAACAATTAGGCTTTTGAATCAAAGCTCCCATACAAGTCTATATACAAACTACTTAATCCTGTGTTGTCACCCCCAATAACAGGCAGGTGTGTGCCTTGCTCAGGGACTCTTTTCATGCCTTTTTTTCTTTTTAATATAGATCTAAGCAGTGTCCAAACAAGGCTCTGCCCATGACCCTGCTCTGATTCATCCCAGCTGGTAGGAACAGGAGAAGCAAAGGGATCAGAGGCAGGCTACCTCTGCAGACAAAAAGGAATAGCAGATTCACACTTCCATATCAAATTTCAGCAGATTTTTTTTTTTTTGAGGGAATGTCTTTGCAGTCTCACACTGGAGGGTCAGCTAAGGGTGGTTTAGATAGTGCCAGGAGATCCAATTGTTATACAACTTTTTTTTTTTTCAGAGCAGATTAAGAGAGAATGCTATTCACTATTATGACTAATGCTTAAAGACTGTTTCTGGGCCTAAGCAGTGTCCTGTTAACTTTCTGGGAGCCTGAGGGGGATGTCACAGCTGAACCTAGACTTTGCTCTGGATGGCAGAGCACTCTTCAAGCGTGCTTTCTCAAAGGGATTAGCACAGCATTTCATTCAGCTTTTTCATCAGACTTCCTTTCCCAGCTCAGTATCTACTGTACACAAGGGTCAAGTTTTCATCTCCCATTGAAAGTTTTTTTTTTTCCTCTGAGCTCAAAATGGGAAGATGGGCACTAGGTTGCTCTCACCAACAGCATCCATTCAGTCTGCTCTTTGCAGTTTATTACTGCTTTTCAACACTTGCTCATTGGGTGGGTCTTTCATTTAGTGTTGTTAGTCTGGCACTGTTTGCATGAATTTCTCAAAGTGAGATGATGCCCTGGAATTGGTACACTTAAATCCTAGAAAACATGTTAATCCAGAAATGGCAGCTCTTCACTTTATAATCAGCAGGCTGAGGTATGACAAAAATCAATCTGGTGGTCTCATTGTCTAATACATTAGCAATGCTCAAAATAGGAACTTTTTTTACTGAGAAACCAGAGCTGATTTTAGGGTCACACAACCTGAACAACTCGGACCACACCAGATGAGGTTTACTGATGCAAGTTTTCAACCTAAAGTATAGAGAAGAGGGCCTCTATCCTGCAGGAGGCTTTGCAGTTTAATGTTAGCTGATGATGGTCCTGGAAGAAAAACCTTCCCTCTATCAAACTGAGTCTGTTCTAACCAAAGCCTGCCTCCATTGGTGTTTCTGGTTTTGCTGTCTCTGGTAATAACCAAAGTAGGGAAGTGTTCCCTGAAAACTCTCTGCAGAGGTGCACTGGAACATGAAGTGCACACCTACACTCTGCCTGCAATCCTCATGGGGAAGTGTTCGGGGATCAGGTCTTCCATCATACAAAGTGCTACCCATTATGGGAATTGGGCAAATCTTATTGTGGGAATTCTCTTATTTGCCTTAAATAAAAGGCAAAAGGCACAGAGTAACCATCTCCTTCCCAGTTTTCTTTGAAGTCTGTAGTTATATCCAGAGTTCCTCCTGTTCCCACAGAGGTACAAGCATCGTGCACACAGCTGCTGTAAAAGCCAAGTGAGCTGCAATGCCCTTTCCTTATATCTTGATATGGCAAACACTCATAAATGCCTTTACACCCCTGGGAAAGGTCCCATTGAATCATTCACAGATAGGGTCGTGCTTACCTTTGCTGCTGAATCAAACCCATTAAATTCATCTCAGCTAAGAGAAACTCTAGTGCAGGCTAGTGACCCAGAGTACCTCTTAAGGAAATAGATATGCTTTAGAGGGCAATTCAGTCCATCTGTTTCAGGCATCTACCTTAGACTGCAATAAATAATTCCCCTGAGGTCCCTCTGTTTCTCCACTGACAGAACAAGGAACCTAGAAAAGACATATAACTTTCAGTGACTAAAGCAGGATGGCAGCTCTCTAGGCCTGAGCATGCAACTCAGAGTGCAGACAATTGCATTTGGGGGCCTTCTGCTGGCAGCAGCACCTTCCCAGGTGAAAAGAACATTGTGCTTGACTGGCACAATGGGAATAAAGCTCTTTCAACAAGGTGAATTTCTGAACAGTTTTCTCTTGCTATGCAGAGTTTTGGCAGGGGTTACTGAGAGACCTGTAACCAGACCAGACAAGAGAGGCAGACGTAGAGTCAAGGTCTGATTTCATCTAGGCAAACAGTTCTAGGGTTTCCAGACAGATAGGCTGTATTTTCAAACAACGTTTTTTCCTCTTTGCTGCTCTCCAGTGCTCCTTGACTTTAGCAGTTATCTAGTATTACACATGATGCAGGTTACTGCACCATCTCCCTGCTGCTCAGTACAAGAGCTCATACCCAGATTCTTTCAGGTGCTATGAGATTGAAAACTAATCTTCTGGCATAATAATTTGTTCTCATTACTATATTTCCCTGTAGCAGATCTGCTCAGAGTAGAAACAGAACCGGAAAGAGGCCACTATAGAACACTACAGGACACAGGGTGAGCCAGATAAGCTCACCCTCTGCCCTGTCTGTTGAGCCATGTTCTGTGATGAACACTGTGAAAATCAGAAGAAAAAGTTGTGTAGAAGCAGTCTGCTGTCACCAAGTTCCAGTGGGAAGAAGGCAAAAGAGCAGAAACATTGGATATGTTGGGCACAGAAAGTTTAAGTAATATCACAGGACACACAATCCTAGGGAGAGGAGTAACCTAAACATTGAAGAGGAATCATGTTGAAGAACATTAAAAGGGCCAGCAAAGCTTCAAAAGCTCATTATGTCAGTGGGCAAGAGGTCAGACAACAGAGGATGAAGTTCTCTATGTTGGCAACTCATGTTGAGCTATGGGGAAGGAAAATTATCCAAAGGGGAGAAAAGAAATTAAGTACATTGCTGGAAATAGCAACCTCTCAAACAGATGTGAGATAGAATCAGACATGTGAAGCCTGGCAGGATACTCAGGAAACGTTTACTTTAAGTGAGGGAGATTTGGGCTGTTTGCCAGACTGGCTGGGTGCAAACTATCTTGATCCAGAGGTTGTACATCCTCTATGTGCAGCCATTAGGGCCTCTGTGCCAGAGACACACCCTGACACATTCTGCTGAAGTGTTAATGGTGTAATTAATTTGGGCAGTGCACTCCATAACAGCTGTAGAGTCTGGAAATAAGTCTGAGTTCTGAGGTATTTGTTCCCAAGTGAATATGCACAGTTCCAGGCCTCCTGTATCGTCTGCATCCATTATATGTATTTATGTGCACAGATGTTGCACAAACAAATGGAAATTAACAGTAGCTTGCACACAGGCTCACACAGTCTTGGGAGGTACAGAACAAAACCCCAGGTAAATAAAAGGTGCCTCAAGAGAAAAGGAACCATATTAATTTAAAACCAAACACAAGAAGAATGTACCTCTCCCCAGGAGGCAATGCATTTGGAGAATTGAATCAGTTATCACAAAAAAGGTATCATAACATGGGGACAAAGAGACAAAAAAATCAGGATGATCACCTTTGATCAAAACCCCCTGTAGTTTAGGAAAAGATACAAAGGAAATGCAGTAATGCTCATGAGTTACCTCTATAGAAGTTACTGATTCTATAGAAATGATTTTGTTCTTTTACTGATTCTTTCACCATTCATTTTTCACCTCGCGTAAGGTGGCCACTTACGTTTGCAGACGTCTGGAGAAGACAAGGGCTTGCCTCTGTCTCTGTAGAAGCCAGGCTTGCACCTCTGGCAGCGATGCCCCTCGGTGTTGTGCTGGCAGCTGTCACAGACGCCCCCGCTGCGCTTCCCCGAGGCCAGCCACACGCTCAGGTCAAAGTGGCAGCTCTCGGCGTGGTTGTGGCAGCGACACTCTGGGGGGGACAGGGGAACGTCCTTCAGGCTGACACAGCTGACACAGCAATCATGGGAGCATTTCCCAAACCCTTCTGGCAGTGCTTTAAACCCTGCTAGAACCTGGAATGTGAGGGGGAGTAGCTACATGAAAATTCCACTCCCCAGTAGCCCCAGTGCAGAAGAATGACCTGCACACTGAAGTTCTCCATCAGTGATCAGCAATTTATCCCCAGTTTCTGTAATGGCACCATTACTGTAAATCACAGAAGTCTTTGTAGGGGAGCTTTGCCTGCTGTTATGGTGAGTGCTCACCCTGAGAGCCTGGGTCAGCAAACTCCCTTCCACTTACTTCTGCATTCATTAGGTGCCCCTGTTTTCCCATCTCCTGGCTTCCAAGGCTGGTCGTTGTAGAGCGGAGCACATTTCTCACAGTGGTCCCCGGCCGTGTTGTGTCTGCACACGCACTTCCCATGGACCTGCCAGGCAAAAGAGAGCACAGTCAAAGGGCCACAGCAACAGGTGGAGTCCCCAGCGGCTCATGAGGAGCTGGGACTTCTGCACAATTCCCACACAGCTGCCTGGCTCTCTTAGGAAACCCACAGAGCCTGCAGCTAAAACATGTAGCTCTCTCTTCTCACAGTTATTAATGATGTAGAATTTTTCCTATATCTTATAAAATGCACATAGCAACAATTTAACTCTCAGTTGGCTGACTAACTACTGCATTGATGAACAACCTGTAGACTCTAAATTTGGTGAGCTGACAGGTCTTATTTTGATTTAAAAGTTCAGGGCAAGAGCAGGCAAAGAGTATCAAATATACTCTGGGCTAGCAGAGCCAAGTCAGAGGAGACCACAGGCTAACAGAGCATGCTGGGCTCTGTCTTGATGTTAACACTGATCTGGAAGAGAGTCTAAATCTAGGGAAGTGAAATCACCATGAATTATGAAATTTTAAATTGTTAGATGAATGAGGAAATAGTCACGGACATCCTAGCACAGTTAAAAATGTAGCAAAAATATTAAAAATGGAAAAATACCAACCACAATGCTCCCACAGAAAAGTGGGAGAGCTTTGAGCCATTCCATGAGGAAGGTACTGATATTTTAACTTAGGTACAATAGGCACCAGCCTGCCAACTTACATATGACTATATATAAATTAGGTTAGTAGAAAAGACCCAATAAAATTTCGGGCTATGGAACTAAGAGCACTGTAACTCCAAGGGCACAAAAAATTGTACCTGCAATGCTGTGCTCAGTTTTGAACATCTTATTAGCAGATTAATTAGGAATTAGAAGAAGTTCAACAAAAACGAGCAAAAGCTGCCTGAAGTACAGGGCTGAAGTACATAAACCCAAGTAAGTTAGAAAAGAATACATAGTATTCGATGGGCAAATAAAGTGCAAAATGTCTTGACTAAGACATAGTTCTCTCCATGACTATTTGCTTGAGAAATTACTTGAAGAAAAAACTTGCTTCCTTTGTACTTACTTGCCTTCCTTGGAACACAATAATGATTTTTAGTCATGGAAATATTCAAATTTTGAAGCAGGTATTCACACCAGAAACCAAATCTTGCAAACTGAGCTAGTCCAGCCTTCAAAGAGAAAGTTACCATTGAAACTACTTCTGCTCTCAAGTAATTTTACACACCAGGAATAAAGCAGCCACTTCCACAATAAACGGTGATTTGGTGCACAAGATTCTGTAATATTAACCCACATTTATGAACAGCCTTATAGCAGGGTTTTTATGTTGTTGCTGGGTTTTGGTTGTTTGTTGCTTTTTAAAATAAATAAATAAATAGTAATCCAATATCTGTTTGCAATGCCTCAGGGAATTCACAGAGAAATTTTTGGAGGCAATATCAAGCATAGGGTGTGAGAGAAAGAGAAGGGTGGTACCATAAGTCAAGTTCCACATTTATCACAAGAGCAGCTGGTATTTTGCCAGGAGACGCTGGAACTAGAGCAGGAAATGTGCAGAAATCAGGGGCTAGACCCCTGTCCCTCCATGGGCTGCTGAGGATCCTGAGCTCAGCACATAACAAAAGCTACAGCACGTAACAAAAAAACCAGGCTGAAATTTCATTTTGACTGGCGTGTGAATTGACTTTAATCCTTTAACCTCCCCATTAACACGAGTTAGGTTTTTCCACGGTCTGTCCTGAAAGCCGGGCTCTCCCTGCAGCCCCATCTGGCAGAACCGCTAGCCCGGGATCAGCAGAGCCGCCTTCCAAAGAGGAGTAGCAGGGATGTGCTCCCTGCCCCCAAACCCCTGTGCCCGCAGCTCTCTGCCCTCCGCTGCCCGGGTGTCTGAGCCTCAGTGGTGCGGCCGGCAGGGACAGGAGCGGCTGCAGCTGAGCCATCGCCCTCCGTGGCCAGCGGGCAGCGCCTCCGCCCCGAGCGCTGGGCAGGGCTGCGGGTCTGCCCCAGCCTCTCCAGCCTCACACAGGAAACCCATCCGCGTTCAGGGCACGAACAGCGGGACAAAGGACAGAGAAAAATGAGAAAATACTAATACAACAGCGTTGTGCTTTTCGCTATTCGGGTTTGACATTTCAAGCTTCCAGTTCTCTCCTGTGGTCACAGAAGCTGCTCTTCAAAAGGCAGAGAACAGGGGAAAGGTAAAATGAACCCGACCCCAAAATTCAGACTCCACCTGAACTTCACAGCTCATTCTACAATAGATCAGAACAAAATCCTAGATCTCTTCACTTTCTTAGGAAATACTTCTTGAAATGTATTTCTATGTAAAATCTGCAAGTTAGCCCATTTTATTGTTTAGAAATACATGTAATACTCCGAATACAGAATACTCTGTATTCACTATATTAAAAAAATTATATAAAAAGTGCTGAGACCATGCAGTTGGGAAATGATAGAATTAAACCATGCAATCTCATTTTAGCCTTGAATGACATGATCAAATATTCATTATTCCACAGGAGCCTGTGCTTACAGTGCACAGCACAGATGGTGTGAACACTCATGAACAATTATTCAGAAAAATAAACAGGAAAATTCAGTGAGAGAGGAAAGGAAAGGCTGAGCTATTCTTTGGAAAGTAGACGTGTTAGTTTGCTCATTGCCCACTGGTTTGTTTGAACTATAGTTTATGGCATGTTATGAGCAGGACAGAGGCAGAGAAGAGGCTTCCTACCTGTGATCCCTGCTGTGGAACAGCTTCCAAATCCACATGGAAGGGTGACTGGCTCTCCTGCTGGCTGTCTGCTTGGCTTTTCAGCCCTTTTGTCTAAGCCACTGAGCAGGCACAAGGATACAGGGAAGCTGGCATGGAGCTTCTTTTGCAGAAGGTTACATTTGGGTACTAACATTTTTGGCATAGGTTGAAGAAGAAGGCAAAGAGAATTGACTGGTATTGGTGCAAAGGTAAAGCAAAATGAAAGAGAAAGTAGTCTACCATGTGTATCAAGGAATATTTTTTCCATGGAGAATAATCTCAGATAGCATTCATGGGTGAAACAGCTACAGAAGAGAGTGCAACATGAGAGGACAATGAATTACAGAGAGGATTTGGTTAGGAGAACAGAGATGAACAGCTCACATTGACCACACAAGAAAAATGATTAATGGATATAAGGGGCCATCTCAGAAAGACTGGTTAGTGCAGGAAAAGCCAAGCTGTGGAAGAGACCTGTTACATTTGAGTGTAAGATGAAATAAGGTTAGCTGAAGTTGCTGTGAGTAAGGAGACAATTTGTTCTGTTAAAGAGGAAGAGATAGGAGAGGCAGCCAGAAACTAAAGTCCAGGAAGGAGCAAGAAGGAAATACTGGAAACTGTGAGATAAAATAGGAAATGGGATACTGCTAAAAGACAGGAGGATATGAGAATCACATTCAACACCAGCACAAGAACAGGTGTGTCCCTGAGTTGTTATTCACTGCTAAAATAAGTCTGCACTTCTCTCACCAAAGTGTGACCAAAAAGCTGGAAAACTGCAATCTCTACCAAATGCAAGATCTCAGGATGCACTGGATCACAAATATCATACCAGGGAAGAGAAAATAATCAGACAAGTACAGAGCCAGGGCAACACCTTTCTATGCCGTTGAAAGCAGGGGCAGATTTACATGGAGATAATGATGATTAATAAGATTAATAAGAAGAGGAGTGTCAGGAAGCAACAAGGACCAGCTGCTCCTTAAGGGCCAAAGAGCTCCAAGCTGAGGTTTTCAACAGCAAAGGCTGGGCCCTTACTGAGGGTGCACCATCCCAAGCACAGAGGGCAGAGCAGGGAGCTGGCACCACAGAAACAAAAAGGAAAGGGACTGGGGTAATTCAGGAGCAGCAAGACACAGGCCAAGAAAGACACAATATAGATGCAAAATCTATTCAGAGGGCAGAATGAGAGACAAGCTACAGCACAGGCCAGGGAAAGGTGCAGGGGAAAGGTACAGACCTAGAGCAGAGCCCCAACACCCTCCAGGAGGCTGGGCCAGAGGCAGGGATGCAAACAAGCACCAAGAGCCCAAGGCTGAGCTTAAATAGGACCCCCAAGCCAATGGACAGAGAGCACGGGTGAGAGTCCCAGGTGGGGCTGGTCAGGGATGTTAAAGTTCTATTAGTGCTTTCAGGACACTAATAATAACACTGATTTCCACTGGATTGATGTCATTGGCATCTTTAGGATATCTGACTACAAAGAACCACCTGATACTTTGAGGGCAAGAGATATTTCAGTCTTCATCTGGAGCTGGCAGTCCAGGTGGAGGAAGCTTGAAAGCAAGGTGTGAGCAACAGAGACAAGATTCATGCCACCAGTTAGGAAATAAAACAGTTTTTAGCTAAAACCTCAGTAGTTTATGACACTGATTTATATGAATGCCTATAAATGTATTAGTACAGCAGATGAAAAATGAAGATCCAGGGGATTTCTGTATCAACTCTATATTTCATTTGGTTCTTTTGTTCCATAGATAACACTTCATCCCTTATCCTGATCCTTAGGTACAAAAGTGTTTAGGCCTATATGGACTTCTCCACTGTGCTCACTGCTGCAAGATTTGAAACGTTTGGAAACATTACGAAATTTATTTTTATGACACTTCCCTTCATCTGCTTTTCCTCATTACTCTGATAACTGTCTTGTCTCTGAAGCTCTTTCCCCTTCATTGTATTGAGAGTTCAGTTGCTCTCACTAATTTTTTTGAAACTGGATGGTGTCTTCCAAAGTTATTGTGGGGAATGGATCTGAGAAAAAGATGCAGGCAGGCAGACTGAGTGATTGTATAAACTTCCCCATTTCATAATACCAGTCTGAAGTCCCATGTGCATCTCCTGAAATAGTTTGTGTTCTTGCACTCCTGCTCTCCAAGTGCATTCAGCTGGGGTTGCTCCTGTCACTAATGCAGGCTGTCAGCTTTGAAAGATGAAAACTGCTGCTTTAAATGCTGATATTCTGGCTTCCTCATACTTCAAGTTTTTTAATCAATTTTGCAAAGGGTAGAC